AATTTTTAAATAATTTTAAAATAAGTTTTTTTATTATGTTTTTTAATGGAAGCTATTTAATATTTGAATATGACTCCTAAGATATTGAATTTTCTTAAAACTTACAAGTTACATGTGATGTACACAATGTACACAGATGTCTTTTTACAATTTAATGAAATTCAATACCTCAGTATAATATATAATATTATTAAAATGTCTATTACTATTTATGTAATGATTGCATTTAAATAATTTGTAAATTTGTAAATTCATAAACTAAAAAAAATAAATATTTTATAAATATTCTTTTAATAAGAAAATGATAAATCTTACCTGTAAGTGATGTTTTTTCTGGTTGCTCCTGCTCTTGTGTCAAATCATTATTATTATTATTGGAATGTGGTCGCAAATTTGGTAAAGCAACGAGAGCTAATGAAAGCAGCAAAACCATTAAACAAGTTGCTGGTTGAGCACTCTTGTTCCCCTTTTGTATAAGAGCTTGTAATCTCTTTAATTGGCCGGCTAAACTTTGATTTTGCGATTGTAAGGCCTTGATCCGTTTTAACAAAGTTATATTCTCTTCAGTGCATTGTTTCACGCGATCCTCTAAACCATCCACGTACTCCTTTTTTCTTTTGCGAGAATCCTGTGCAGATATCTTGTTACGGATCTTACGTCTGATTCTCTTTAATTCACGCTCTTCGTGCTTTGTCAGTGGATAATGGCTGGGCAACGTGATGCCCTCTTTTTGCAATAATCGTTTTTCCTCGGCATTTAATTTTAATCGTGGATATGGAGAGTCTGTTTCCGATGCCATTTCATCACTTGAATTAAAACCTTTATCACTACTGGAATCTTCTTGCTTGATAGTCATCTAATTATAACATGAAAAAAATTTTTTTTAATTTTAATTTGTATCATTATGATAAATGTAACATCAGTATATCAGTATATATAACTATAAATGTATATAACTATAAATATAATAAATTATAAATATTTTAATATAGTATTCTAAAATTACTAGACGGTTTTTTCAATAATACATCTATTAGCAAAAATGTATAGCTAATTTGTTTTTTAAAAATGTTAGGAAAGTCAATCATTTTTGAATTATAAACGAAGTCGAAAAAGATTTTTTATAAAACAGATTTTACAATTTGACAAACCAAATAAATAATAATATTATTTTTTTAATAATTCTAATTTTTAATTAAAATGTATTATAAAAAATTTTATTCTAAAAGATAGTTGTAGAAATATAGCATATAATAAATTTGAAAAATTAAAATAAAAAATAATTTCTTACTTTTTCATTAAGAAAAAATCAATTTTGAATCGATCAAAGAATCTGTTACTAAAGGAATTTCTAACAAAATATCTGATAATTTCAAGATATCTTAACGAAAAATTAACATATAATTATTAATAATTGTGTTGTATTAATTATTATTATATTAAAAGAAACGTAATAAAAATATAGATAAGTATATAGATAGACATTCATAAATAAGACTTTCAGATTCTATTGAAGAGCTCTTTGAATATTACATTGCAATATATTGTATACCTGAATAGGTTTATTGATTACGTTCGTCTGATTGATTTTCAAACTTTTCAAGTTTTTTGCTTGTGTTGTCATGATTTTAATAGTTCGGACTTCCTTCATATCTTTCAAATTCACTGGCAATAGGATAGATCGCGGATTACCAGAACCCATTGGAGTGACACGTATTAATTGTCGAATATTCCGCTTTCCATTGCATGCTAAATTGCGAATATTTACGACATTCTCTTGTGGTATCAGATGTACTTGTTGTTTAGGGGCGGAATCTGTATAATATGAAAATCTATATTCTATCTTTTTACGTGTTTTTGTTTAAATTTTTTCATGTTAAAAATGTTTAAAAAAATTTGTTTTTAGGATTTAGTACTATATCTAAGGCCTACTGCTGTTTTTCATGTTAACTTGCATGCGATTTAATAACTTATTAAAAATGCATCGTGCAGGAGCATTCAGATTTTTCATCCTTTCGAAGTGTCCTCATGTGTCATTTTATCCTTGTTGCTAACTAAATATTAATCAAGAATAAAATGACACATGAAAGTACCTCTGCACGCAGCATTTACTATAATTTACTAGATCGCATATAAATTATTACAAAAAATAATTGCGTGCCGTAAGCTTAATTATTATGTGCAATATTGGAATTTTTAAATCAATGCAGCTGTATACGTTAAATCAATAACATGTCTTAAATATACACATGATGATTTATAAGAACATGTTATCAAAGTCAGAAATTTCGTCATGTTAAAAATATTAGAATAATGACGTTATTTAATAATGTTATTTAATAACATTTCCCATTAATAATAAATGTTACTTACGTTTAATATTATATATTGTGAACATACATATTTCTTTTGATACGATAAAATCTTACCGATGTCATTAATTGGTTGTCCCGTGGTAATAGTGGTATTCAAGTTTGATATAGTATTGTTTGGTGTTACAACGGCAACCAAAGTTTGCTCATAATCCATCTCTTCGGTTGCGTCAGTAATCGGTGAGCCAATATTCGAGCTCATAACAGATCTAACGGGACTAGTGATGCTACCTAAAGATGGACTGGTCGCAGGCTCGAAGTCGATAAAATCTTGCGGACTGTTTAAGTTAGAATTACAGATCTCTATCTCCTCTTCTTCATTGTTATCTGTTCTCGATAGGATCGGACTTAATTGCTGTTCATAGGAAAGACTCAACGCACTGGAAAGTCCACTATCCGATGAAGAGGACGCAATCGTTTCTAGATTTTTCTCAATTAAATTAAAATCAAATGAATCTTCTTCCATCTTTAGGATCGAAGCGAATAAGTCATCGGGATTTGTTGGACATTCCTCTGCCTAGAATATTATATAATTATATTATTATCACTTTCAAGCCAATCACAAAAAATTGACAGAAAAATTTCTACTTTGACATAAAAAAATTTATTTTTATTTTTCGGTGTATATGACTTTGAAGTTGAAGTTATTGTATCAATATTTTACCATCTAAATAAGAATCGTCAAAATGAAAGATTAATAATGTTAAAAAACTAACATTTAAGGCTCCTATTAGTTCACTATAATAATCTTGAATTATGATGTCAAAAATGAAAAAATATATGAAAATTCTTGCAAAATACATTAAAACAGAAACTTCTATAAAATAAGGTTCATAATTGATGAAATAGACTTGTAAAATATATAAAAAAAAGCTCTCCTTTTACTTCGTTAATCAATGAGTAACTATAATTGAATCTATAATTATATATATCTATAATTGAATTGTGATTATTCTTAATTAGGCACAATTCACTTCTAGATATTATTTCTTAATTACCAGAGCAAAGGAGAGTTTTTGATATATTTTAAATTTGTTTTCAATTGCATATTTTATCGAAAAACATTTTTATTTTAATGTATTTTGCAAGAATTATCATTCTTATATTGTCTCGCTTCTGATGTCATAATTCAGAATTATTGCAGGAGTTAACTGAAATATTGTGATTATTTTATTATTTTATTCTAGATAAGCAATAAAATAGATAATAATAGTAAAAAATATTGATAAAATTTAATAACAATTTTCAAGTATAGATGTTTTAATTCGATAACCAGATATTAAAATATCTCTACAATGAGAACAATTAGAGCTTCTTATGTATGGATTCATCAACTTTATCCGAAGTAGAGTGTATATTTTAAAGCTATATTATAAAGCTATTTTAACAGAAAGACATCCAAATTTTAAATTTAACAATTTATCTTATTTCGTTATTCGTTGTTATAGATCTAACAAATAATATATTTTTTTCTATTCTATGCGATAGTGCCTTATTTGTTACTATAAATCGCTATGCCGCATAAACGGCACTATTTCTCGCAATACGCGGCACTTAGAATAGAAAAAAACGGCAAGATTCGGATTCTGATAATAACATTTATATATTTATTTATTTATGATTGCTCTATTAATTATTATCCGAAAAATATAAAATTAATATTTTTATTTACGCACACAGAGGCACATACATATACACATATACGTGCGTATGTGGAGAAGAGGGGGGGGGGTGTATATAAAAAAAAGAAAATAATTATAATATAAATATAATATAAATTGGGGCATATATGTGCCATACAAAAAGTAAAGACTTTCAAGGTAGGCACAGTTCCGTAACATAACGGTACCCATTCGAAGGTCATTCACCGCATGAAGATCAAGTTGCCAGTTTCTGATCTCGATGTATACGATAAGAAAAACAAAAAAAAACTTTTGAATCGAATAAGTAATTACGTAAATACGTTAATACTATATGATAACTTAATAAAAAAATGTGAAGAAAATTGTCAAAAAAGGAATTCTATGTTCATCGCTACAGATGAACATTGTTAACATAAAGAGCGGTATGTTAAACATATGTACATATTACTTTTCAAATATGAGATGCAAATTAAGATTGTGTGATGATTCGCGCCTTTTAATTTTCTCAAAAAGCCATTCTGTTGGCGGATTATATACAAATAGTAAAAAATAGTAAAAAAAATGAATAGCATTTCGGATTATAAATTTGCACATTTATATTTTTATAAATCTTATATGAATATTAAATGGCAGTTCGAGTCCCACAAATATAACGAATCGTACAGTTTATCGACAATTTTAATTTTATGATACGTTTTGTACATTTAATTACACTCGATTCATATTGGTAGTTGATAAAAATATTTTGTATTTTTCGTATTAATAATTGATAGAGCAATCAGATAAATATAAATTTAATATAATTTAATTAATTTAATATCGCGATATTCGTTTTAGAGATTTAATAAATTTACCCTTTATAATTGTAGTTGAATTTGGTATTTCATAATATTCATACTTACAGTTAAATTTTATAATGTATATTTATACTTAAAATGAAATATAGATATATGTTTGACATTTGACGAAAGAGAAAAAAAATACTTCAATGCAATGCAGCATGGTGTGGTGTTAAAGTACCGATCTGTTAGAATTGAGGTTGTATGCGAAACCACGTGGGTTGATTGGCGCACCATATGTTAAAGGGGAAACTCGTGTAACACGATAAAAATTCACTTTTCGAAACTTTAAAAAAAAGAAAAAAACTGTATGAACAACTTTTTTAAACATTTCGAGCTATTTTATTGTACTATTGAAGTCAAATAAAAAAAATTAGTAATTAAAAAAATGTTCATTATAAAAGAAATAATATTTGTTCAGCACGTCGACGATGAGCTCTCGTCTTACTATGCGCAATGTAGCGTCGTTTGTATTCATCTGAAACAAAAAAAACCAAAAAGATTTATCTTTTTTAAGAGTTCACGTATTAATTGAATCTACTTTTTCAAAAAATAATGCAAAATTATAAAAATGACAGCACTTGGAAGAAAATAGCGATCTTTACATCTATACAAAATTTTCGTATCACATTATATATAATTTAAATAAACAATACAATTATAAATGTTGATTCAATTTATGCGGAATATATCTATGTAGATGTGTGCAAAAGGAGAAATCAATCGAATAAAGCTAATTTTGGAGTTATCTTACACACAAATTTTAAAAAAATTTTAAGAAAAATGCGTTTAAAGGTTTGGGTGTAGATAATTTTCGAGTACTTACAGCTGTTTTGCGAATCTACTATTTCAAGCCTATACAGCAAATCTTCTGTTCTTTCAAACAAACTCTTTTAAGGCCGCATTATCCTCTCGATCGAGCCTTTTTAAAAGCTGCTATGGCTGCATCGCCCCTATCTCCGTGACCGTTATGTATCGTAATTATCAGCAAATATTTTGCATTGTTAGCAATAATTATATCTAATGAGGTCATAATTTGCAAAATTGCATTAGCCCTCGTTAAAAACGCCAGCAGCTATTAAAATAATAAAACTAGCGAGTTTTATTATTTTAAATATATATTTTTATAAAGGTAAAATTATATATTTACACAAAATCACACGAACTATGGCTTTGTAGAATATACATAGAAAGACATGACAATATAGACATAACCGAGTATAGACATACACAGGTATATACTAACTCTTTTAGTCCAGCTGTTATTGGAAGTTTATTATATTAAAAAAAAAAAAAATAAATGCGCGGACGCTACGCGTGCTCGCTGTTCGCTCAGTAGGAAAATCGTCTATAATTACGTGAATTTTTCGAATTTTCGTTATAAAACTTCAGGGAAATATTCTCGACATGTTAAATTATTAAATTATGCAAAGAAAATTCTTTTGATGTGTTACACGAGTTTACCTCCTTAAGACTATGATATATAGTATTATTTTTCATTTTAATTTGCATGTGATTGATAAATTACTGAAAATGCAACAGATAATATATAGTATTTGTAATAATATATTATAATATGAATAATATGAATAATATGTATAATATGAATAATATGTATATGAATGTGAATATGTATATGTATATGAATTAACATGAAAGACATCTATGTACTGTAAGTTTTAAAATTGTGTGTGTGTGTGTGTGTGTGTGTTAGTTTTAAAAATTACAAATTTAACAAAAATTTGGATTATACAATCTTTTACACACACGCACATGCGTATATGGTATACCATATGTTAGCATGGATTAAAGTTTCATAAATAACTAAAACTTATCGATAAAATGTATATATAGTTGTTGATAACAATAGATTTGTTATTGCAAAAATCATCAAAATAAAACTTTACAAAATTAGAATAATTATTAATCATAATTGTTGACCAAAATGATCAATACTAAAACAATCATTACATATAATTTCATATTTGAACAAGTGTGAGTTTCTCTATATTGTAGAATTTATAAGAGAAAAATATCATTTAAAGATAAAGTGCCAGTTGAGTTGCTTGATAAATTCGCAGTAGAAATTATTTTGATTCAGTTTCAATATGCTTGAGTAATTATATGGCTTCATGCTCTGCTTTAGCTTTTTTAAAAGTATATTTAAGTAGGATATATTAAAATCCATTATATCAGTTACTATAAAATACTTATATGAATTAAATAATAAATGGAACAAAATATCACTTCTTTTTATAGTAAATTTTCTAAATTTCAATCCTTTATAGAATAATTATTTTTAATATCATTTAATCCAAATAAAACGTAGTATAAACTAATAATTTCTAACCATTAACTTTATACAGAATTCTATAATAAATATTATCACATTTTTCCTCCCTTCAACAATGTATGTATGACATTTAAATCAAGCATAATGCTCTTGCCAAAAATGCATTTAATGATAAAATAAATTATGTCTACTAATTTAGCATAGTTATTTACCTTATAATCATATATCAATAAAAAATAATACAATGAATTTAATTCTTCTTATATTATTTTCTATATTCTATTTTATTTCTGTATCTGTTATAATAATAAAAAATTCCTTCATGTCAATTTTTAAAAAGAAGTTAAAGCCCTTATTAATTAAAAACCTTAAATTAATTACCTTATAATTAAAAATCTTATAATTCAAAGCTAATTATGTACTTTTAATATACATAGTTTAAACTTTAATGCATCACTTTTTATACTAAAAAACAAAATGCCAAAAATAATCATAATTCCACAAATTTCTTAAATCTTTCTCTCTTCTTAATCTATTCCATGATTTCATTTCATGAAAAATATGTAAAAGAAATTCCATGTAATTCCATTGATTATTTCATAGCAAACAAAACATTGAATGGTTATTTTCCATAAATGAAAATAAATCAGTTAATATGTATCTTTTTGTTATGTGTGTATGTATATGTTTTGTTGTGTGTGTGTGTTATATATTCTATATAACTTAAATTCATAAAGTACCTATATATTTGATTCAATTAAATAGATAAATCTTTTCTACATATTATTTATATTCTCAAGTTAATCTTTATAATAATTATTTAATCCAAATCTTTATAGAATAAGAAAACACAAAATTTAAAAAAAAAAAACATTTTTATCAGTACCTATTTTTAGCGATTCTTAATTTCTATTAAAGTTTATTATATGTCCTTATTTTATTTTAAATACAAAATATAATACAGCTATATAAAAACCAGAATCATTATTATAACATTAAATAAATTATTTTTTCTTGTATGACATGAATGATAAAAATGGTAGAAAACAGATTTTATAGAACTGTATATATTGAAAACTAAAATTAACATATTTTTCAAATATATAATAGTACACAATCATACAATTTTTACATTACAACTTAATATAATTTAGAATCATTTTACTACTGTATTCTTTCAATTGTACAATGCAATCTGTTGATACTCACCTTAATATTTCATAAATTATTATAATATTCTAGTAATATTTCCTATTTTTTTTATAGTGCATCAGAAACTTATAAATAGAATTAGAGAAGATACAGAAAATTCGGAACTTACCGTCATATCACCATAATTGTGTTCAACAAATAGTTCATCCTTACTGTTTTCTCTAAGAAACGTATCGTCCAGAAAGTCAAACAGGTTCATGTCTGACGACATCACTATCTAACATATAAAATTCACAATTAAGTATAACTATAAATTTATCTCAGTATCTATGCTGTGTCATTCAGCAAAATACTAACGATAGAGTTATCGTTGCACCAGTCAATACTTAACAACGTATGTGATCATCATCTACTGACATGAGATCACGATGCAAGGTAATGCCACGAAGCAACCTGATTTCGCTTTTGTTCATGCCCCACCCTCATGTACTCGTAGAACTGACGGAAGATTCGGTTTTATACTTTCGACACTCTCCAACATCGATATTTTCAAAGTTTAATATTCAACACTTTTCATAATATTAATACGTAAATTGACAAAATATGTCTTTTCCAAAATGCTACGTTTCACTTTATCAAAATAAAATCTAGGAATAAAAATAACTGCCAACGTGGCACAAAACTCTCTTATTAAATATATGTATGTACGTACATTCAGTGAAATGCATTAATATCACAGTATAACCAGTAATGACACTCAGGCTGGTTTCTCATGCAGTGTAATAACGTTTTTCATTGGCAGAATTAAGTCAGCGGCACATACTTTTTTGCTAAATTCTTGTCTTCGATTGGTATATTTTTTTAGATCTAAAAGAATATACCAATCAAAGACAAGAGCACCAAGCACGCAAATCCAGCTAGCAAACCAGCAGGAAAAAAGCATCGTGTGTCGCTGATCTTTAATGCGCGTGAGAGCGATCCGCATTTGATGACATTGCAAATGGACATAGCCACTTACAGCGACCTGGAGATTTTCCATAGGATTAATCAATAAAAAAATTTTATTTTAAATTGGCCACTCGGCAACGTGAGCAATCGGTCATTCAATGCATACTAGCCGCGAACTGCGTATTTCACTGGGGATTTTAATACGCATGAAGATCGTGCGCGCTAAATTTCATTGGCTGCATTTAGCAAAAAAAGCAGCTTTGCAACTGTGTAAAATCCTTTAATATGATTGGTTTATACATTTAGATCCATAAGGAACTAATGGTATTTCCTTACTTTTGTAATTTTCACCTTGCTTCAAGACTTCCACAATTGACTCTCGGATGGATTTAGCATATGGCGACGTGGTCAACTCAGACAATATGGCGGCGCGCGTAAGCGCCGCCTGACTACACTACTAACGGCAAGGCGGGCTTCCAAATTCAGGACGAAGGGTTACTTTTTATTATATGCATCCCACACTTATATTATAACAAAAATATTTATTTGACACATTATTATAAAACTATGAGATCTAAATCGACTTAAACTAAAATAAGTTTCAAGGCAGCTTTGCCTTGATTGGCTGAATTCTGATCCGTAATCCCAATCCGATCCGCTTCCGCGTAATACGTAGTGTGACAACGACTTAACTTTAGCACTTATGCCAGCGAGATCGTTCGTATAAACCAAAATAATTCTTAATTTTATACATCGCTGCTTCGTCTACGTCTAGCTTCCTTACAAGAAGTAGGAAGAGAGAGAGAGAGAGAGAGAGCAAAAGAAATGTGCGATTGTGCGCCGCGATTCGCTTCTGCGGCGTCACAAGCAGTCAGGAGCTGGCGCCATCGTACGGCCGCTATTTATACTAGTACTTCTGACGATATCTTACAACAGCATCAACTAACACCAAGATTGTAACTATTATCGACCGTAACATTTGTCGGGAAGCAACTATATATTTATTGATTGGGATAAATGACACACACACACACACACATCATATATAATATATATTTATTAATATATTCTACACATGTTATACTAAGTTAACGAGAAAAAAATATTTAAAAAATTGTAAATGTTTTAAAACAAAATTTATAATTATGCAATTTCATAAAAATTTAAAAAACCGCTCTAATATTACGCAGAAAACTGAAATGCATACGCATGTGATCACAGCGCATGCCCATACATTTCGTCGGTATGACAGGTTTCCTAACCCTGAATAACGCAAATTTTAATGATTAATATCTCGGTTCGCGAGACAGAGCGACGCTTTTTTCTGTCTTTTTTCAGATTTTTTCGTTTTGTGCAAAAACGCGTCGAATGAGCCTATTTTTATCAAAGTCGGAGGTGAGGGACCTAAACTAAATATTTATCAAAAAATTCTATAATCTAATGAGAAAATTGTTATGTATTTTAGAAATAACAATGTAGCCTTTGTTATGCATATGATACATGATTGCAATTATATAATAACTTGTATTATTTATTACGTCTATGTTACATTGTTAGACTAAACAATATTTACAAAATATTGATTATATTCAGCTTGACTTTAATTTTCGAAAAGAATAGATATATGCTAGTTTATTTGACATTTTGTTACTAATATAGAGATATACACTTATACAATGTAATAAAAAATTTAATAAAATTTTATTATTAATTTAAGTGTCAAATTCCTAATTGCATATATATCTTTGTAGCTTGTTTTACACAATGACAGACTTGCTCATGTACGCAATTTTAATCATTCCCTGAAGCATATCGGAATATTTGCATATACAGGACATTTGAGAAGTATAAATCAAGGCTTTTAAACATCATTGAAGTGCATAAAAAATGTAATATAATATTTTGTATTACGCACGCTTTACAGAAAATTCTCAAATTATGTTTAATGCGCAATATCAGAATAATCGAAAGAATATTAACGAATTTTTTTTGATGTTATAAGAAATATCAATTCAATGATATTTCGAGAAGTTCGGGAAGATTTTCACTATCTTAAGATATTTAAAATAATAATATTAAAAAATAATATTTCAGCAATAATTCACTAATATTATATACAGAATGTTTTTTATTTTGATATAAGGAATCTCAGGGACGTAAAATGAAAGGAAAATATTTGTAAATAAATCTTTTTATTAACTTTTCAATTTTATTTGCAATAATTTTATATTCAAAATATAACATTATAATATTATATAGCTGTAAAAGAGATATTCAGACATAACTTAATATCATAAAATTAAACTTTATATAAACCAATTTTTTATTTAAATATAATTGCACATTTATATTGTATACATAATGAATATGTATTGTACATAACATTATATAACGAAATATTTATTTTTATATTTATTAAGATGTTTGATTTTATTCTTTATTTCTTTAATTTTTACTTTATTTATTTATTATTTTTAAATAATTCACTTTGGAAAAAAATCATAGTATATTTTTCCAACATTTTTGAAATATTATATGTTCGCTAATATTATGTTATAATTTTGCATATCTACAACGTCTCTGTCTACATTGCAATCTGCAATGTTGCAATATTATCTGCATTGTTACTGTATATCTAGAAGGATCTGTGTTGTATGGGCAATTACCAAAAAATGTGGCTCCAAAGGGCCAGCGACTGGTCACCAGTGCGGTCGTTGCTTGCAGATATAAAGTAAATGTTCCATAACGGGTTGTAAGTGGTTCTCATCCAGATACAGAATAGTCAGACAAGGTCAGCAAAAGTTTACAGATTTGATAGTTTCTATCTCTTTCTGTATCATATTATTGATAAACTCTCATTTGCGCATAAGAAAGAGCAAAAATAAAGTATAAAAATAATAAGTATAAAGGTAGTAACTATAATAATATAATAATAATATAAAGTAACTATATGATTATAAAAACTAAATTAAAAGACAAAATATACAAAGAACTATAAATATTTTTATTCATTATACTAATATCTCAATACACATTCGTTCTTACCTCTAATATCTAGAGTATAGAAAAACATTAATTTAATATAAACGATATTCATATTATAAGAGTAGAAAAAACAATACAAACACACACACACACACACACACATGCGCGCGCATGTTTGTAAAAACGTATTGTCCAGTCTTGATAAAAAGTCTATCTATAATTATATGGAAGTATTTTATATTTGATTAACTAGTCAACATACTCAATCATCCATTAATCATGTCTTTTTGATGATGCATAGATAATGAACGTGTAAAAATATGAAAATGTTAATATATTTATTATATTTGTAGTATTATTTAGTGGATATGCGCTCATTCGACGATTTTTAATAGTTAATAACTCATTACTAATTGTGAAAAATTGCAAAACGAGAAGACTTTATCAATATTGTAATAATCAAGTCAATATTATAACAATTCCAAAATAGTAGAGGACTGTTCTACTTAGTTTTCCAGCAAATAAAATGAAATGGATAGAAATGTATTCGTATGATCATTGCCAAATTCTTGATTTTTTAAAAATTTCGTTTCAATCCAATTCAAATTTATGAATTCTTTTAATCCATTTTGATTCATGAAGTGGAATTGAAGATTCTTCCAAATTAATCCAAAAAAAATTACGTGAGCCATGTCAAACTTTAATTCATGAAATGGGATTGAAATGAAATGCTTCCTATTCTTTCAATTCAAAATATATTAAAATGAATTAAAATGGATTAAAAATTTTCAATTCATTTTAATATATTTCTGAATGCTGAGATGTTTATATTTAATGTATATTTTTAATGTCTACATTTTGTCATCGTGTCTGCGCATTGAACGATGTTGAATATCTTTTCTATTTTTCTCAAATAATTAATAATTGATAATCCTTCAATATTACTTTTAATTTCATTCATAGAAAATACACCAATAAGAGTATTACATATATGATTTGCACGATTATATTTGCTGGTAAACCGGGTGAACGTGCACTCATTTAGCAATCTTTAAT